CTTGAAAAACAACTAAAACAAAAAAGGCTGGAGGTGTGGCTCAAGTGGTAGACACCTGCCTAGGAACCATGAGACCCCAGAACTGCAAACAAACAAACAAAACCATATCTATGATCCCAGCTACTCAGGAGGCAGAGACAGGAGGTAGTGAGTTTGAGGCCAGCCCATGCAAAATTAGCAAGACCCTATCTCAAAAAAAGGGGAAGGCTGGGAGAGTGCTAGAGTGCCCTCAGTTCAACCCTCGGCTCTTCCCAAACACACACACACAAAAAAAATCAAAGTAAATTTTAATTTTCTTGTATTAAGTTATAAATGATCTATATTCCAGGTTTGTAAAATATCAATATAACTAAAAACAGAATGACTGGGGGTGTAGCTCAAGTGGTACAGCACTATCAAGCACAAGACCATGAATTCAATCCTCAGTACTGCCAAAAAAATTCACTCTTGTAGTGACTTTTAAACATACACTACATTATTTTTAACTTTCTGTGTACTTGTTATTTTTCAGTAATTCATTTGAAAGTCATTATACAGCAAGGAATATTATGATAGCTGATTATTTCAAAATGCATGATTTATAGTGTGTTGCCTGTATCTATTGAATGAGAACAAATTTAAAGATTTCTACAATTCAAAGAAGTTTCATTTTGCACAGGTTTAAATATGTTGTATGATAGCTGGGTGCCAGTGGCTCACACCTGTAATCCTAGCTACTCGGGAGGCTGAGATCAGGAGGATTGAGGGTCAAGGTCAGCCTGGGCAGATAGCTCTCCAGATACCAACTCCAAAATAACCACAGAAAAATGGACTAGAGGTGTGGCTCAAGCCTGCTTTGCAAGTGTGAAGCCATGAGTTCAAATCCCAGCCCACCAAGAAAAAAAAAGATGTCACACTATAAAGCTAATAATTTGTCAACACGTCCTTTCAGAAATTGAAAACTTCTCAAAGTTTTCAACAATATGTAGAACTTTCAAACTCAGTCTTCTTTTTCTGGTTTGTGGTTCCTTTTCAAGGCACGTGGCTGTTTAGGACCTGTATGCAGAGCCCTGGCCAGGCCTCTCACCACCAGTGTGACTAGTTCCCTTGACCTGACTGGGAGCGACTGTGGATTAAGAAAAAGATACAAAGACAGACATAGAGAAAAGCTGGGATCGGGTGGGTCCGACACTCCTGATGAGAGATGCCGGCGACCCCCTCTACATACAAACGCATTTATTTATACAGCAAGTGTGGGAAAGCGGGGTGAAGGGCAGGTCAACTTCTTATGGGTCCAGTCGCGTAGACAGCAGGAACAGAGCAGCTGTGGTGTGTTGTTATTTAGTACAGACTATCCTGACTTTGTCAATATGCCATTTTCCCTGACAGGCAGCCTTGCTGAACCTTGCCTCCCCTTGGCTGGGTCCGTGCCTATCAGCCAAGAGGCCCTTGACAGAGCTGCGCTCATGCCAAGGTCTACTTCCACTGCCTCAGTCTCCCTATTTCCAAGGCAGCCTTGCTGAACCTTGCTCACCTCCTTCATGCCGGGGCCTTGCCTTCTCAGCACAAAGGTCTTTGACATGGCTTTGCACATGTCAAAGTTCTTTCTCAGTCTGTTTAGTTACTGGCCTCCCACAAGGCCAACTCTCTATGGGACCAGTCAGCCTTGGGGAAGTTTCTCAGTCTCTCATATCTGATGTAGGAAACATCCAAATTTTGAGTCTCTTACAAGAGGCGTTATCTTTCCTCCAGACAACTACTTTAAGAGTGGATATCTTCAAGCACAGACTTGAACAATAAAAGCATTACATACAGGTCCATAATAAGCCCCCAAATGCCTGTGACCCTGTGCAGAGTTGAGGACTCAGTTCTGGAATATGAGGTGCAAGTAACCCGGGAGAGATCTGCCATGGCTCCACCAAGCCCAGGTAGATCAAAGACATGTGAACTGTACTCATTAAGGGAGAGATCCTGCATGTTGTCAAGTATGGATGAAAGGTGGTCACCTTTCCTAGAGACAGATGTAGCTTGATGAGAGCCTGGCAGATATTTAGTGCTCCAAGAGTCCCACCTAAAGTACACTTGCCAGTATGACATGAGTAAACCTTCAGGTGTCTTCATCAGCCCTGAGGAAGTGCTGATAGGATCACAGTAGGAAAAAGAGGAACAGGTCATGATGTGGGGTAATGGGGCATAAGTGTTAATTTTACTGGCAAGGTCAGTCTTTACCCTTTATGTTTTGACTTTCATACTCTAATTTTCTCCTCTCATCTTTATTTTACCTTGTGTGACATTCCTACACTGACAGCTCAAGTTTGCTTTTTCTCTACAAAAATGTCATCAGCCCAGGGCAGACTGAAGAAATAACCATGGAGGGGATCCGGTTCCCTTGAGTGATTTGTCAGGAGGGAAACCTCCAAGGCGAGGTCAAAGTGTGCTTTAGAAAGCCGTCACCATGGCCCAAATGACAGATTATTCAGCAGCATCCTCTTCGTTCCTAGACTCAGCCCCACCCAGTCCAGTGTGCACTGCAGCAGTACCTTCAAAGACTCCCACAATAGGGTCACGCACTCTATTCTGAAAAATAGTCCCACCCCTGATCCTACAGCTAAAAAGACCTGTCTTCCCTACGACTTTGGAGGACAGGAAGCAATCAGTGTGGGGGAAAATGTGAGCTACCATACAATGTCACTGTGGCTAAGCTACGAGGTAGGAAGAAGAAGCACTGAATCCTCAGACTTCAACAGGGAGGGAAGGAGATTTGGGGGTGGGGCCAGTCATTCCTCAACAAGAGCTCTAGCAGACTGGTAACCTTGTAGAAGCCAGTAGAGGCACTCGAAAGGGGCACATCTTCCTTTCTCTAAGCACAAGCCCTGAGTTGCCCAAAACCAGTACCCACAAAAAAGACAGCACTTCTGTAAGAACATTTACTGGAGATATGCAGTTTATTGAAGAACATTTATTGGAGAAGTGAATTATTTATTTGGGGGAAGGAAATTTTCCTCCCTTGAAATGCTGAAGAACAATGTTATCTTTCAACGTTGGGGAAAATTTTGCCAGCCTAGTGCCTTCCAGAATGGTAGTGGCAGCCAGAGGCACCTGCCGCTCTTGAGGCCTGCTGGTGGAGCTGGGTTGGGGCACAGGCTCCCTGTTGGGCAAGGGTGGAGCACGCCTCTGCTCCTTAAATGGCACACTAGTTGGGGGTTTTCCGCCCCCTTCTCTTATCTGCTTGTTCCTCTTAAGATAACTCAGGTCAGAAAAAGCACATTCTTGCTTGCAGGACTGGGCACATAGCACTTTAGAGCAGGAAGCTTTGTGGGTGAAGTGATGCCCCTGGACAGGATCAGCCTTGTGCTGGACCTGCAGTTTTGCCTTTGTCTGAGTTTTCCCAGGCTTCGTAGAAGACAAAAGGGGCCCTTGGGGGCAGGTGCCATCTACTGCATCTCTCCGAGATTTTTCCCCTAGGAATTTTGTGAAACCTTTTGTGTCTTTCTCATCTTTGCTATTCCCAGTAAAGGCAGCTCTCCCCTTACCTAGTCCTCTGCCCTGCACAGATGAGGATGGGGAGCTGCCCTTTCTCATTGAACTTCCTTGCCCTTTGCCTCTTGTTCCAGGGCAAAGCCACTGAAGAAAGTACTTCATCTGGTTTTTGAAGCGGTTTTCAGGGGGAGGCTGTCCCTTCAGTGACAGGGTTGAGGATGATTTGCTCCCATGTATCTTCTCTGATGCCCTGTCCTGAGGGTAGCAGCTCTTCCTCCTGGGTTGGGATGTCTCAAACCGTGCGTCCCCTCCACCAAACTCTCCTGTTTTGAGCACAGAATGGCTCGTGAATTTGGCAGCTGATGGCAAATTCTTTCCTTGACCCTTTTGCAAGTCATGCTCGGTGATGCAGGGCTCCTGACCCTGCTCCAGGTTGGTCTTTGTGTTGTCCAACTGGACATGCAGCACCTGGAAATTTGCCATATTGCCACTAGGGACCCCACGGTCAGGAGTCTTGAAAGTCGATGCGTTTGAGGCCAGGGGCACATCAGCAGGAAGGCTCTGAGCCTGGCTCTGCTTCCTGCTCTCCAGTTTCAGCTTCAACTCTTTTATCAGCTGATTTTTTAAATCACATGCTTGAGGATCACGTGTAACTGACAATCCCACTGGGGGTCTTGGAGTGGTAAGGGTAGCTTCTACTTTTTGAAAATCCACCTCAGGATAATGGAGAACTGATGTTCCCACTGAGGACCGTTCAGTGATCAGAGTAGATTTTCCTTTTCTAAAATTTGCATCAGGATAATGGGGAACTGATGTTCCCCTCGGGAACTTTTCATTAGCCAGGGTCATTTCTATTTTTCTTGAATTCACGTCAGGATAGTGAGGAACTGATGTTCCCCCTGGGGACTTTTCAGTGGCCAGGGTACTTTCTGAGTACTTTCTGGGAACTTGCCCCTGTCTCTGCTTGTCAACATACTAGGTCGTGGTTGGAGACCACAGAGCTCCTCTACCTTAAATGTCTCCCTAGAGTTAGTAGAGAGGGAGAACTTTCCCCTATACGTTCTTTCCACCCACGGCTTTTGTACCGTGTTTCTGGAGCTCAGTGTCTTATCAACTGGCTCAGGTACAGCCTCAGATGCTCTTGTGGGCAGGTTTGGGATGATGCATGTATTGCCCACTACAGACTGTTTCTGACTGGCCTTTTGTATGACACTCTGGGTCTGGTGTGGAAAAAGCTGTTTGTCATCCATTCTGTGAATGTTGGCTATATGATCATTCTCGATACCAGAGAATGATTGCATTTGGGGCTCCTGCCCTTCCTTGCCCCCAGGTGAGGCAGCAGGGAGGCGATAATCTAGTTTGGGGACTGGATTATTTGTCCCCATCTTTTCTTTAATGTAAGCATTAGGGTTTCCTCTGAGGGCCTTGGAGACCCCACGGTTGGAATCCACCTCAGAAATTAGGGTGGTAGAAGATGGAAAGTTGAAGTCAGGACAAGCCTGAGATTGCTCTCCTCTTACATTAAAGTTATTTATTGATTCCTAGACCCTCTGAGGAAGGCCACTAATCATCCTCATATGAAAAAGTTTAATATGGTCTTCCAAAATCGTTCGTTTCTTGGAATCAGGGAGGGAGATATCCTTGGGAATGTTCAGGTCACTGCCTTTGCCCATCATTGGTGCCAAATCACTCTGCTTTATTTCACAGGGGGGTTTCTCAGGTGGGGGCAAGGTCATCTCCATAGACTGCTGTGAACTACGCACAGCGCTAGGAGTCTGACCTTCACTGAGTTCCTCAAATTTCTTGTTCAAATGTATTTCCATGGCATCCTTAAGTTGGTTCTGATCTAGGCTCAGCACTGAGGTTCTTGAATTATTCCTGGACAGACTCTCGGAGTTATTTACTGTGTCTGTCTCAGAGTCACAGCCTAGACCATTATCTGAAGGCCCATCTTGATCACTGGCCAGATGATCATCTGGGCCAATCTCTAAACTATGTCCCTGTTCCTTCCCCACTCCCTCCTCTAGAAGAAACATCTCTGAACTCCTCTTACGGAAGGTATTGGGCTGGCTCAGTTGGAAATTGTTCAGCTCTTTGCTGTTCTGATTCTTTAAGGAAGAGATCCATGAGACTCCATCACTGTTCTTTGACTCAGAGGGAATTTCTATCAGGGGGCTCATCTTTGACAAAGACTCATGGATCCTGTGGGGCAGACCCCAGCGGTGTTGAATGAGCCTCTTTTGAAGATGATGCTCCAGTTTCTTCTGGAGCTCATTGTTGAGGGGAAAATCTCCAGGGAGGATGGAGATCTGAACATGGGTCTTGGAGGACCTGCTGACCAATGAAATGTTGGGAGCTGGAGGACAAAATTTTTCCTGGGATTTTTGGATCACACAGGGTAAACCCCACAAACTCTCCAGGTTTTTTTGCAACACATTATATTCCAGGTGGTGAATTTCAGATGGTGATAGAGATAGTGCCTCACTCTGAGGTGTATGAAAATGGACTCCACACTTCCTAAGTTGGGGTAGAGGAGATGGTGGCAGGATTGGGAGAGAGGACTGAAGCTGGGCCTTGTCCTGGGCAGGATGGAGATGTTGAGACTGAGATTGGGACAGTGTTTGGTACAAGGCTTGAGGTTGGATCTCAGGCAAAGATGGAGGTGTGGGATGAGGAAGGATTGGGGATTCATGGATTGTAGAAGCACTGAACATTCTGTTGAAGCAGATAAAGAAAGAGTCACCTGAGGCAGGAATAGTAGTGCTCAGTGACTCACTGTGAATTGATGGAAGACCCCAGAAAAGTTGGGTATCTTTTTGTGGTGACTCATGTTCAGAGTTCTTTAGATATGGAGGCTGCTGAGGCATGTGCCAGTGCTGGGGCACTGGTTTGCCTTTGCTGCTCCCAAAAGGAAGGGAGACTGCAGAGTCCTGCTGATCAGCAACTGACTCTAACATTTTCCCTGAAGAATTCAGTTGGTACTCTAGTTTAAATTGTTTTGGAAAAGGTTCTGTTTGCCTTTCCTTTTCTTTCAATATTAAGAAATCACCTCTCTCTTTGATTTGTCTCTCCAGGAATGAGAGGACATCAAAGTTGACAAATGAGAGGTTGCCAGGGTCTTTAAGGTATATTGCAGGGTCACCTCCAGAAGAGGCCTCAGAAGAATGGAGAGCAAGGAAATCCTGTGTGGCTTCATACTGTGCCAAGGTGGAAGAGAAGCAGTTCTTTTCACCAGGCTCTCTCTGTGAAAATTCTGATGTTGCCAAGTTGGAATGGCGAGTGGCCCTGGTTGTTGGGTCATAATAAGTGGACAACCCACCAGGGCTGCCCTCCAGAGGCAAAGTGGCATCTTGTGGGAACACAAGGTCTGCATCTTGGGTATGATGAGGTAGGGGAGCGGGAAAGGCAAGGTTCTGGGATGAGAGTGAGTCCATGGGGAATTTAGCATTGAAGGGAGAATTAGGCTCTGGTGGCAGAGAGTCATCCAGTGGTGAGAGTGAAGGTAAGTCCTCCAAAGGAGTGTCCTGTTTAGGTAAGAGAATGGAAGGCTCAAGTGTAGGGCCTGGATTTGGATGTTCTGGAGGGACTTCTGAGAGAGGAGAGGTAAGGGATGATGATGACTCTTTCTTAGATGCTGGGGATCCCACTGGGGACTCAGAAGCTGTAGAAACTTCCAAGGACGCCAGAGATATCAGGTTACTGACCTCAGTAGCTGTTTTACTGCAAAACCCACACAGGGGGTCTGGACATAGCAGTTTTTGAAAGCGGGTGGAATCATGTTGCTTGTCCTTGAGGCTAAGGGAGACAAAATGCAAAGTTATAACCAGGACCAACACAAAAGAACAGAGGGCCTGATGCCATAGTAGGGGTGGAAAACCTGAAGCCTGGTATGACCTTTACTTTCTCCCACATACATATGACCTCACAATCCATTCTGTAGCCTGTCCCCAAGATCCCCATTGTTATGCCTGTTGCTGTGGCTGCCCCTCCCTTGACTAGGGCAGGCTTACTGAATTCCTGGGATGCATGGAACATACTAAAACAGGATCAGGACATGAAGATCACCTTGTCACAATGCAAAGCAGCTTATTCCACTCTTCTGCTTCTCTCTCCTCCTCCTCCACTTTTCTCCGGAAAGTCCTGTGTCCTGGAAAATCAGCGTGTGGGTTATACAAAATGAAGTTAGAAATAAGCATCTTACAGGAGTCCCTTAGAAATAAATAAGCATCTTACAGGAGTCCCTTAGGATAGGTACGCTGCTTAACATATTAAGGGGTAAAGCACTTTACACAATGTCAGGAGACATAAGTTTTGATCCTAAAGCATCGTGAAGTCCAACCTCGACATGACATGTCACCACTGGTCATCAGTACCCGCTGTACAGGTCTCATGCCCACGGTTGAGCAGAGTGCAGACTCTGAGAAGTGTCTCAGGAATGACTGCTTTCCTGTGAGCCTCTCCTCTGAGGGTTCTGTGTGCTGAGAGAGACTGTCTAGGAACTGACTGCCCCAGAGACCATGGGGCTGGGAATTCAAGGCCGCACCCTTGGAGAGCTCAGGTCAAATAGGAAGACATATCTGTAAACGCACCTCTCCTCCTCTTATATCTGCCCTGGTGCTGGGAACAAAAAAGGAAAGAATGAGGGGCTATGACTCACTTATACTGCTCTCTTTGTAGCCAGTCCAACATCCACTAACCAGGTAGAATATGACTGTCCATTTGATTAACAGAGATTTTTTGCTTTCTTTTATTAGCTTTTAAAGATGAAGGCAGGTTTTGTCCACACTTGGGGCTCTCAGTCAAAAGGAGAGCATAGAATCTGCAGCCAACAATCACATCTGTGCTTCCTCAGAGGACCTTGTGTCCTGGGGACAGAGCTCAGGCTCCAGGCTCTTCTCAGAGGCCCTCAGAGGTCAGCACAGCTCTCCTGACCAGCCCAGCACAAAGAAAGGCTTGGTGAAGGGACACCTGACATGGGGATGGGACTCAGATCAAGTGTCAGCCTTCATGAAAGCCAATCTCTCTAGCTATGCCAATCAGAATCACTATTTGGGATTTTATCCTGAACCCCTATAGCACAGGCAGAGAGGGAGTCTGTGGACTTCAGATAGAAACCTTTCTCTCCATGAACCCCTTCACTTACTAAGATGCATAGCCTAGAGTCATGATGTTTTGTCTTCTCCTCGGACTTCCCATGTCAGATGTCTCTCAGAGACAACCAAACTCATTCGGTAATGTAAGAACAGAGATGGAAAACACCAACAAAGAATCTCTCTTTGTTGGGGTTTACCCTAGTTTCTTACCTTTCGGATGTTCTTTTTGGCGTGGGTTGGTAAAGTTGGTTTCGATAATCTGTAACACAGGTACAGAAGTAGCAACCCCAAGGCACTAAGAAAGGTGCACTTGGGGTCAATATCCAAGAAAGCTGAGCTATAGTTCAGCCATAGCTCTATGTGGCTCTTCAGAAAGGAGATACTCTCCATAATCTGAATCGCACTGCTGCCTGAGGCAACTGAGTTCTGAGTGGGCTGTGGGCTTGGCTATATACCCAGGTCTGCAGCCTACATCACAAAGCATGGGAGGCCCACAAAAGGGGATAGTCTGAAGAGCCCCTCCCCACCCACCAGCACAGCAGAGCCTTCTGCCCAGCCCTGCTGCTCCATTTTCCAGTGCCACCCATTCCCCATCTCATGTAGTTATCCTAGAGAACCTTTCTGTTCATTCCCTCTGTGACCAAGATCTTTACCTGAGCTCCCTTTATAGTTCAGAGCGCTTGACTTGGACCCAGCCAATTCCAGTGTGTTGAACGTCTGACAACTGCCTGGAAATTTCTCTTTCACCCAAACACTTAAGCTCTCAGGGGCACAAAAGTACGTCTTATCTACAGAATCTGTTTCCCGTTCACTAACTCACATGTAAAAGTTAATATTTTTCACTTAACTCACATGTAAAACTTAATAGTTTTCACTTCTTTAGTTTTGTTAATGTTAAAGAGTAAACTAATGATTACTGATTGATGTCTTTAATCAGAGGGAATGACTCAAATCACAAAACTAAAATGCACATAATTAAAACTTTAAGCATTCTTGGGTATAAGTCTTTAACATTTATTTTTTTGAAATTAATGAAGCTTGAATTCTACAGACTTTTGGCTAATGTTCCACGTGCATATACACATATTCTTTGGCAAATCATGTATTATTTTCATATCTAGGAGTCATTTCCTCCTTTCATTTCAATCTTTCATTAGTTTGACCTCACTTGTAACTCTAAAATACAGACTTCCCAGTCCACTTCTACAATTTCATAACATTTGTGTGATTTTTTTTTCAAAGTAGGGGGAGGGATATGTCACAGTTGCTGGTAAACAGAAAATTTCATATTCGTATATCCTATTCGGATGCATCCAGGCCGGCAGGATATGTAGACATAGTGGGGGTGATCATAAAAGTTTATTAAATGTTAGGGAAAGGAGTTACAAAAGGCCATGGTGAGCCAGGTGGGAACCTGAAGCAGAGACAGTGCTCTCTCTGTTTTCAAGGCATTTTTAACCCTGTGCTAGCTGATGGGAGGGGAGAAAGCCTGGGCAGTCCTTGACAACCAATCATCAGGGAGTGGACAGGAGTTTGGGCTTTACCAGGACTAGGGGGTTTCACTCTGCGCATATTTGAAATTGAAAAGGAGGTTCAGAAAGAAAATGTTCAGTCTGAAATACAGTATTGTAAGTCATACATGTTTAAGAGTCTCCATCTTTTTTATCATTAACCTGCCTCAGATATGGTATATTAAGGAATGGATTGCCTTAGACCCTGGTGGCAGGGTTGTGACCTACAAGTGTCAGTGCCCCAGGAAAGAATCTAGACTCACCTATTATTCATGTAGGATATGTAACTGTGATCCTTTTCTAAGACTGTCTTGCGTGAAAACCACGTGAGAATATTTGTTCTATATAATCACCCTGCTATGTCCAAAAACCATCTATCATCTGTTATTCAAGCATTTGCTCTCAGGTTTAAAAAAAACCTTAAATCCTGCTTCTTAGCCCTGTTCTACACCTTTTTTTCTAAACTTTATTGCCAAGTGAGCTGTCCTGTCTGCTAATTTCCTGTAACTTTCCAATACCCCAAAGCCCTGCATTTGTCACCAGAGCCAAACACTCTTACTTAATTTCCTGTGGTGGGGCAAGATGGGCTCCAAGCCAGACAGAGTTTCCTGGCAATTTTAAAGGAAGAGATACCCTGCCTTAGACACAGCTCTCCTCCTCTCTCTGATAACTTGATCATTTTTTAATAAAAATGTTTTATTAGGATATATTCATTATAGGGAGGATTCAGAGTGACAGTTCCAATCCGTCTTATATTGTACAATGGTTAAATCATACCCTTCCTCTCTCCCCCTCAACAGCCCTCCCTGCTACTCATATAAGTCCTATTTCATGTGAGTATATGAAGTCCATCAACCATATACCCTCATCTTAATCTCCTTCATTCACCCTCCCCTCTCCCACTAGTACATCCCCCCCTGTACATTATTAATATTTAAGTTGATGTTCAAAGGGGTTTCTCTATGAATCCCTGCTGCAGATGTACTTTATTTTGGTCTGTTCAACCCCTTACATTGCTATCTCTTCCCCCTTTACCTCCCAGCCCCTCTGTTTCAACAGCTTTCAGTGCACATCCTTGCAACCTCTACCTTCACAGATGCTATGTTTTACGATATTACTGATTCTCTATCCTCTTTTTCCTTTCCCTCAAGTTCCATGGAGTAGTTACACTACTACTAATGTGTTCTACATATGAGTTTGTGTATGCTTGTTTTGTGTATGTTTACCTTCTGGATCTATCCTTTCTGAGTCTGACTTAATTCACATAACATGATGTCCTCCAATTGTATCCATTTACCTCCAAACCATGTCATTGTTCCTTATGGCCGAGTAAAACTCCATTGTGTAAATATACCACAAATTCTTGATCCACTCATCAGTTGTTTCCATAGCTTGGCTAACGGGAATAGTGCTGCAGTGAACATGGGTCTATTGTATCCTGACTTATGTTCTTTGGGGTAGATGCCAAGGAGTGGTATCACTGGATCATATGGCAGTTCCATCTCTAGCTTTTTGAGGAATCTCCATACTGCTCTCCATAGTAGTTGTGCTAATATGCTTTCCCACCAGCAGTATATAAGGGTTTCTGTTTCACCGCATCCTCACCAGCATTTGTTGTTGCTATTGCCCTTGAACGTGGCCATTCTAACTGGGGTGAGGTGAAATCTGAGTGTGGTTTTCACTATTCCCCTTATATCATTAGTATTTGTGGTTATGTCCCCATTTCCATCTCTGATTTTAGTAATTTGTGTGTTCCCCCCTCCATTTTGTCATGTTGGTGAAGGGTTTATGATCTTCTTAATCTTTTCAAAGAACCAACTTTTTGTTTCA